CGGGTGCGAGTGTGGCGGCTGGGCCCGGCGCAGGGAGAGCTTTCCTCAAGTGAGCGTCTGCGAGAACCCATCCTCCGACTGTTAATGATGGGGGGCGGGGGGCGCTTGCTAGTGTTGTTTTTGTTTAGTTCTGCCCATTTTGGCAAGAAGCCGTTCATGCAGTTTTATATCTGAGAAGTGGACCCAGCCCGACGTCAGTAAAACCTTCGGAGGGAAACTTGACTTCGGCAGCTGCGATGACTACCAACTAAATCTTTCCTCCTTCCTTTTTCAACGGAGTAGACCTCGACGGGGCTCTAAAACCCTCCGCTTGTGGGATTAGGTGTTTATCTGAGACAATGGTGATGCTCTGGTTTGAACACCGGGGGGCGATGTTTGCTGCGGCCGCGCGGTGTCCTCGGGCTCCCTGTGGAAGGCGGGCCGAGGCGTGAAGGGGACTCACCCGCAGCAGCCAGACCCTGCCCCGCTCCTGCGGTGCTCCGGGTTCCCGACCCCGCAAGTCGGGACTCTGCCCACCTTTCCTGCCCGGTGCCTGGCGCGGAGAATTCACTCAGCAAGTTCGCTGCAAGAAACAAGAAAGGAAGGAGGAAAGAAAGAAAATTTAAGTTGTCCAGTACTTTGAAAAACTAAAGTTAACCGGGAGAATGTTTCCGTATCAAATTTCAGCCATTCCTAAAAATACCTTGAAGACCGTCGCTTGCCTCATTCCTCTTCAGGAAGCAGGACTGAGGAAGAAGTTAAAAAGTTTAAAGTCAGTTTAAACTAGCCACTCACATGCCAAGTACAATGTTTATTCTGCCTGCATTTAAACCACTGGCCTAACAGGGTAATCCTTTTTCCAACTGCTTAGACGAAGTGCCCTGGGCCAAGAAAATGATGTAGTTTTTTAAAGAGATGCAGACTGAGCAATTCTGGGAATGTCCAGTTACAATAAAAGCAGTAAGAAAATGTGGTTTCTTCTGTTGGATTTTGCAAAGTGGAGTTTATAGATACTTTGTTGTGGAACAATTCTGCCTTTAAACTACTTTCCTCTTTTCTTAAACAGACAAACAACAACAAAAACCCTGCTTATCCATCATGTATTCATTTAGCAGGTAGAAATGGAGGCACTAAGCGGTAAGTGCTGGCCTAGGGCTGCAGCAGAGAGAAAGGCAGGCAGTTTGACGGGGAAAACCGAGCAGGGAGGTAGACAGAGAGTGAAGCCTGGGAACGGATGCCTCTCCAGGTCCCACTTTAAACAGGATGTCTGCAAAGACGAGGTTTCTGGGAGAATTAGAATGCAGTCAGGAGTTAAATGTGAAGTTATTGGGAGGAAGAAGGATTCAGGTACAGAGAGCAGTGAGTGCAAAGGTCCTGAGGCAGAAGGCTGCCCCATGGGCTTGATGGACACAGGGAGGCCAGAGCAGCTGGAGCACAGAGCAGGGAACAGAGCAGGAAAGCTGGACATCAGCCGCATGAGGAAGTGGGTAGGTGGCCAGGGAAGGTCCTAAGGGTCTGTGGTCATGATGAAGGCTGGGGTCTGTGCTCTGAACTGGGCAGAAGTGAGGCAGGAGGGAAGGGGGCAGGGCACAAACATTAAAAGAATGACACAGCCGTTGAGTATACGACATAAACTGGTTAGGACTAACTGGGCCCCAGATGGCAAAGGATTCAACTTCCGGGAGACCTTGAGCCTCAGTACATGCTCACTGTAACACACCGGCTGCTAAATGACACCCCCACAGGCACCAGGACAGTTCCCAGGCTAGCCATAAAAGGCCAAAAAGTGGGTGGGGCCCAGTTCCTGGAAATGCCTGCCCCTTCCCCAAAATAGTTGTAACGAGCCTCCCACTCCTTAGCCCATGCGATTACCCAGCCCAGGAAAACTACCCACCCCCGCACCCAGGGCGGCTCTTGCTTTCCCAGACGGCCCTGTGCGCGGCCACGTTCCCTTCTGAGGCGTCCTGCACTCCGTCTGAGGAGTGTGCACCTCTCTGAATAAGCCCGCTTTCACTTTACCACGGCTCGCTCTGAAATTCTTTCCTGCATGAAGCCAAGGACCCTTCCTTGGTGGCACACGTCCCAGGGACTCGCCTGAGACCTGGAATGTGACCATCCTCTCGTGTCCCACTTTTCTGCAACAGGAGGGTGCGTGAGGTGGCGGAGCAGGGGAGGAATCATGACCTGTCCTAACAGCCACCTGCTGTGTTGAGGTGGCCCTGGCAGGTTCAGGATTATCAGGGAGGGACTGACGGCGGAGACCCGCGTGACAGCCGAGAAATTCTCAGAGCTGTCTACTTTCTGGATGTATGTTGAAGGTGGAACCTAATGGATTTGGTGTGGATTGGATGTGGAATTATAAAGAGTAGGGGAGAAGGGAGAGGAAAAAGGAGCTGGGGAGGGGAGGAGAGAAGAGCCCAGAGCCAGCATCCAGACAGATGGGTACCACATACATCTTTCTCAACTCTAGAGGAGAGCAGTCCATTTTGAGAGCAGGGCTTCGGGACTTTGGCACAACTGATGTTTTGGACTTGATAACCGTAGGTTGTGATGGGTGTCCTGTGGCTGTTCATCAGTACCCCTGGTGCCCACAGGGGAGCCCCTTGCGGTTCTGTAGGCTGGACATCAGAGATCAAGGTCAGGCCGGCTCTGGGCGTCGCTGGTGCTGCTGTTGGCAAGAGACCCCGCCAGCCGCCCTATCTCTGCAGCAGCCAGACTGGGCCAGACTCTAGAACCAGGGACACGCCAACTTCCTTCCCATCTGTTGGTCTAGGCCTTGCCTCCTGACTGATCTTCAGGTCGGGACCTTGTCGTGGAGGATGTGTGCCCTGGGAGAACTCTCAAGGGGCTTCAGGACAAAGACAGAGGGTTGGAGGGCGGTGCTGCTACCAGCCTGGTCTTCCTCATCAGGTCTCAGCCTCTGCTTCCCAGGGCAGTGAGCGTGGCCATAAGTGTGGGTCAGCGTACAGGTGTGAGTGTTAGTGTGAATGAGGTTGTGTGTGAGTGAGGGTGTGGTGTGGGTGTGTTATGTGAATGCAGGTCTGGACGTAGGTGTGGGTGCAGGTGTGGGTGCAGATCGGGGTGTGGGGTGCCCTGGGTTCAGCAGTCACCCTGATTCCCACCACCCCTCCATCTCCGCTCATAGGTGGAGAAGCCCCTTTTCTCTCTGAACTGATGGTTTTGCCTGGGCGCGCCCGAACACAGGATGCCTCTTCCGCCTGCCTCTAAGACTGGGGTCCTTGGCGTCCGGCCACCCCTGCAGTCCTGGTCAGGTCTTAGAACCCAGTCATAGGGGTGGTGCGGCTCAGACGAGGCCCCGGGTTCTCCAGACGCAGGGGAACCGAGTCACGGGAGGACCTCTCTGAGCCCACCTCACACCCACTGAGCCAGAAGCTGGGTGGGCCCAGCTGGCAGGGGGGGTCTTCTCAAGCCCCCCAGGCAAGTCAGAGCAGCTGGAGCCTGACACCCTGGCTCTGGGCTAACCCCGGGGCTGATCTCACTGAGGACCAACCGCAGTCTCTAATCAACGGAGCAGACCGCTGCTCCTCCTTTGTTCAAAAGCAGGCCTGTCTGCTCAGCAGACCAACACTCCTCTCCCGTCGCCTCAGGCCTGGGATCAGGCTTCTGCTTTCCGACAGTCCCCCATCCTTCCGTGAAATCTGATATTTCAGCTGAACTGCTCAACTTCCTCTTGAGAAATGCTGTGAACGTCCCTGTCCAGAGAGAGCAAAGAACCCTAAACTGATCGCTTTCGGTTTTTCTGTAATTGATCAGGTTTTGAATGTTTTTTGAACACTGTATGAGAAAGTCTTTTCTAAGTCGTGCCAATCTATCCACGATCACCTCTTCAGTCTCACTGTCTGTCCGCGTGGTGGCCCGAGTGGAGAATCTGTATGGCATCTTGGCCTCTCTGAGCAGAGAGGGTTTTCAGTCTTCCAGGAGAGCATCGCTGTTCCTGGTCTGGTCCGGATGCGCCCACTTTGAGATATTCCACTCCCTACCGTGGAGGGTCCCGTCTTCTCGTCCCCGCGGAGTCTCAGCTCCGTCTCCACGGATGTGGTGCCAGCCATGTCCCCTGTCCCACCAAGGTCCTCTCCATGGGGACCCTTAGCGCTTCCTCCAGAGAGCCTGTGCCCCTGACCCCTGATCCCTGAAACTCCTCTTGACTTGCCACCGGCAACCCATCTAATGATCCCTCGGTCTTTCAACACGTCCGTGGCCTTTGACCATGTTTCCTGCTTCCTTCTTTGTGAAAATCTGTCCCCGTGGCCTTCCCACGTTCCTGGCTACACTGCCCTCTGCCTCCCAAGACCTACCCTTGGTCACAGGGTTGGCTTTTTAAATAAACTCCCCATACATTTGCAAAGCATGCTGTAAGTCTTCCTGCCCTGAAACTTCTTTTGCACATAATGTTACGCAGACCTCCTTGGGGTGGAGCTTGGGCCCCACTGGAATCAAACCTAAATCCTGCGAAGAATAGGCATGTAAAAACAGACCTTCTTAAAGACTAGAATTTCCGAAGGTCTGAAAAAAATTAAGAAATGATGACTAACACTGCTACCAAAGAAATCATGACACACATCGCAGGGTTTTAAGCCATGCTGTGGCTGGAGCCCTTAAGCAACCATTTAGTCTAATCTCAAGATTTCGTAATTCCGATACGTTTCTCAAATTGCATCACTGTGAGGTTTGGAGACCTTGCAGGGACGAGACCGTCCGAAGGCCCCGCACATGGGCAGAGATGAGGCCGCAGACAGCCATCTTCAGGGGACCACGCAGGGCATGTAGCTCCCCCCCGGAAGGCCCCCTTGAAATCTGGACCATCGAGTCAGTGGTGGAGCCTGAAAATTTAACCAGAGACAGATTAACAGGAGGAAAGGAAAGAAGCTTTATTCACACGCATGAGTGTGTTCAGATGAAGAGGCCCCCCTGGCCTGCTGACTTTGGGGGTTTAAGTACCAGCTCCTTCGCGGAGAGGAGGGGCAGAAAGGGCTCCCACGAGGAGAAAAATGAGCTGTTCATGCAATTCCTCCTCTCGGGGTGAGGGGTCAGTCTCACCCCACACAGAGGGCCACGTGCTGCCTTTAGCCAGATAAAGGAAGCTCTGAAAGGGCTTCTTTCTGCATTCTCTCTTTCGCAAATGTCTCAGTTTAAAATAATCTTCATACCAGCTCTGAGGGGCCGGGTGTGCCCTCCGGGACCAGTGGAGACCTTGCTTAGCGTCTGACTGGACGGGTCATTCCACCGGGGCCAACCATGGCATTTGCGCCAGGCTCGCTGAGTCGTGCTAAGCCAGATCTCTGCATCTCGTCTCCCGTAGGAAACAGGCAAAGACCCCAGAGCTCTGTGGTGCAATTCAGCTTTCATTCCCAAGGCTTAGACACCCATACTTGCTGTGGACTGCATACGTGTGTCCCTGCCCCACAAATCCACATGTTGAAATCCTAACCCCCAAGGGGATGGTATGCGGAGCTGGGACATCTGGGAGACGGTCAGGTCACGAGAGTCAAGCCCTCGTGAGTGGGATTAGTGCTCTTGTGAAAGGGACCCCAGAGAGCGCTCCCTCCCCCTCCCCAGTGTGAGGACGCAGTCTGGCAATGAGGAGGGGCCTTGCCAGACTCTGATTCTGCCAGCGCCTTGACCTTGGACTTCCAGCTTCCAGGACTGTCAGTAGCACACCTCTGTTGTTCATAAGCCATCAGTCTCTAGGATCTTGTTATAGCTGCCTGAATGGACTAACATAATACTCTTTTTAAAGACTATCCATGGGAAATAAATGTTTTCATTTCCTAAATGTTTAGTATAGTTTTGGACCGCAGTTTGAACAGATGGGAATCTTAAAACTGTGCTATCCTCCTGTGCAACCCACCACAGCCAGAAGGAGCCCCCAAGGCACGTCCCCATCACTTGTCATCCATCTTTGAAGGAAGGCCCCTTGCCACTAAAACTCCAGTTTGAGATTTTCATCATTCATGTCCAGTAACTCGTCCACAGTGTGGCTGTCAAGTGTCTGCAGATATTAGCTTGTCAGATTTTCGGTCCATCCCCTATTCGCCTTCTCTCCTACGTCTTTGATTTGATTCGATTCTCTTTTTCCCTGGCTCTCACTGACCACTGGTAACTGTTCGTGTAATAGAGGTCAGAACCAGATCTTCTTCCCGGCACTAACCTTTTAGAACCGCACCTGAGAGCCAGCGAGGAGAAGCACTCAGACCTGCACGCCAATCGCTTTTTATTCTTTAGATGAGCGAGTTATTTTTAGCTCACTGGTGGACAAACACTTCTCGAAGAGATTCAGTTTTAATGATTAAAGAACTCATTCTTCCTTCAAG